CTGCTCTCGACACAAGGCCAGCATGGCCTTGTTGTCTACGTACAGCACTGGAGGAGAACGAGGCGGCTCTCCGAGGTCAGTCAGCAGGTAGGTGAGCCAGCGAAGCTCCTGTGCAGCCATGGCCCCGGCGTAGATCTCAGCCTCACAACTGGAGCCAAGAACAGAAGACGAGCGGGTAGCTCGCCACGAAACAGAGCCGGAACCAAGGCTGAAGGTGTAACCTTGTGACGACCGCTGCGTAGCCTTGTCGTCTGCCCAAGAAGCGTCTGCGTGCCCAGTGAGGACCACTGGACTCCGCCCTCCAAGCACAAGCCCCATGCCCGACGTACTGCACAAGTAGCGCAACACCCTCTTCGCTGCAGCCATGTGCTCCGGTCTGTGTCTCCCAGGAGCAACATAGCGTGCGAGAATTCTAAGAGGGTATGCAAGGTCAGGTCGTGTGCACGTCATCAGGTACATGAGGCAGCCAACAAGCTCTGGGTACGGGCCACTCGACTCTACGGACTCATCCGAAGGCAGAGCTGAGAGCGAGTGGCGAATAGGCAGAGGAGTGGCCTGAGGCGAGGAGTACGTGAAGCCGAAGCGCTGAAGGACCTGCTGCACCATGTGTGACTGAGTCAGGGTAATGGTGCGGCGTGCTCTGTCCCGGGTGATCTGCAAGCCAAGGTAGCTGCGCAGTTCACCCAGGTCTGTGCACGTGTGTCTCTTCTGCAGCTCGCACTTCACGTGGGCGAGTCCAGCAGTGTCAGCTGTGGCAAAGACCAAGTCGTCGACGTACACGAGGATGTAGAACGGCGGCAAAGAGGTGTCGGTGCGCAGAAACAGCGACGGGTCGGCTGTAGAAGGAGCAAACCCAAGAGCCGCAACTGTAGTCCTCAGTGTGTCGTGCCACTCACGAGGCGCCTGGCGGAGACCGTAGACTGGCCGCCGGAGGCTCCACTGGGTGCCAGGAGGAAAAGTTCCAGAGAAGCCAGGTGGGCGCAGCAGCCAGATCTCCTCGTGCAGGCTGCCCTGCAAGAAAGCAGTGCTGAAGTCAAGAGAGTGCAGCTCGTAGTCGCGGTGAGCAGCTATGTGCAGCAGTACCTGAAGAGTGGTCATCTTCGGGGTGGGAGAGAAGGTCTGAAAGTAGTCAACTCCCTGCCGCTGATTGAAGCCACGAGCCACGTAACGCGCCTTGAAGACAGGCGGAGAACCCGGCGGCCACTTCACCCTGAAAATCCACATGCCACTGACGATGTTCGCCCCAGGTGGGGGAACCGCGTCAACGTATGTGCCTATGGACTTCTAGGAAGCCATCTCTTCATCCATAGCTGCCTGCCACTGAGAGGAGTAGGGACCCTCTACGGCCTCCGCGTAAGAGCGCGGAGTCGGGATGTCAAGTGCATCCGGGTCTCCCTCAGGGGTAAGCAGTACGGACACGAGATGAGGTGAAGCAGCGGCCAGACACTGGAACTCCTCCTGCCTGTCCTCAAGGACGTCCGTGCCAAGGGCACACTCACCCCCGACGGACGGAGGACAGACAGACTCAGACTCAGCGACAAGACTAGCAGCGTAGTCTAGACGACAGCGACCAGCAAAGTCAACGAGCTCAGCAACTAGGGTAGACGCAGAAGTGGACTCAAAGGAAGGGTCAGTGACGACAGTAGCAAGGAGACACGTGACAGTAGGACTGGCAGCACGAAGAGAGTCCGACTCCGGGTCGGCAAGAGCAGGAAGAGAGGACTCAAGAGGAGAAGGCAAAGGGGCACCCAGAGGAGCAGTGGACGGACGTAGAGACATCCTGTGCGTGCCAGGGAAAGGAGGAGGACACTGACGCGAACCACGACCACTAGTGCGAGCAGGACGGACAGGCGACGCAGGGCGAGACGCAGGCTCACGACGCTTAGCAAGACCTCCAGTAGGACCAGTGTAGGGAGAAGGAGCAGGCAGTGGGGAGGCCGGCTGTAACTGTAACTGTGACAGGACAGCCTGCTTCGCCCTTACGTCCCGTCCACGAGCCAACTGCCACGCAATCGCCCAACCAGCATGACAAGACCACCAACTGAACCAATCATCACCCCCGAGAAAATCCTGAGTCAAAGAGTTCGCGACCCTCGAGGAGCCCGAAGGATCGAGTTCTCACTCCGTTGGAAGGACCGTACACCCACCGAGGACAATTGGGTTCCCCTGGACAGAATCGAAAACCACCCCGTCCTCACCGAGTATCAGCGCAGCCGAAATTTCAGGGATGTACACGCACTTTCATAAGGAGGACCTCCTTAGGGGGGGGGGGGGGGGGGGGGGGGGGGGTAGTGTAAGGAAAATCCCTTTTCCTTACTTCGCATCCCTGCTCAACGCGTACATCACTGTAGCACAACAGTCAGCACCGTTACCACTCGCAACCCTCGCATCGACAATCCGCCCGCCACCTTCGCACATCGACCTCACGGCTCGACGGGTAACCCGCGCTCCGGGCCTCTGCTTCGACACTTTTCCCAACCTCAGTCCCAGGCCCGTCGCGCGACAACCACAGTCCATTACCGTTGCCACTGTAGTTTCGCTATATATCCTTCGCTCATGCCTTCGCTCATGCCTTCGCTCATTTTACTCTTGCTTCGATAGTGCAATTCTCGTTCGTTCACTCAATTGCACTCGTAACACATATATCCGGGCGATGACGGAATGTTTTCTTTCAAGATATGGAAAAAAAATGCAGTTAGCAATCTCTGCTGCGACGAGCACTACTTCTGTCAATTGTCCACGTTAATGTCGAGCACTAATGTGATGTAAAACTTGAGCATTGTTGCTGTGGCTGACTCCCTAGTTCAAGATAGTCGCTGTCTTCTGAGTCGACTCCCTAGTCCAGGGCAATCTTGAGTAGCCCCATCAGAACAGCAACTGGTGTGAGGAACCCCCCCCAACCCCCACCCCGACGCCCCCCACACACACACACCCTAGTCCAAATCCACTATCTTCACCCCCTTCCCTGAAATCTCCTGCACCAGGCTTGCCCCATCGGCTGTGGCTGGTGTCTTCTGAGTCGACTCTCTAGTCCAGGGCACTCTTGCAGAGCTCCATCAGAACAGCGACTGGTGTAAGGAAACCCTTAGCCGCCCTTCCTAGTCCAAATCCACTATCTCCACCCTCTCTCCTGGAATCTCCTGCACCAGGCTAGCTCCATATGCTGTCGCTGGTGTCTGCATGGGCCGCGGGGAAGAGAGACACACGTTGAGCTGATACGGAAACGAGGAGATCGGGAGTTCTAGTTGAATATTGCTTCGAGAAAAGTGGAATAAGGCGTCTGTGTGGGTGAAGGAGGCAATTGAATCGATGATACGAGACTCAGGAAACAGTGAGTTGAGTGCGAAAGAGGCAATCTATGTGGAATGATAAATCCCATTCCCAATGCACTTCAAGTCACATCACAGGGTAAATGTATATCCAATGGTGTTACCTGGTAACCAGGCTTAAACTCCCCTTGCAACACCCTCCGTGCCACTTCCACACTGCAGCTCGCCGTAAAGTGGTACCCTGTGAGGTGCCCAAGGGCAAGGAGGCAGGATATGGAAGGAGGAGAGGTAGAGAAACTTTCAGAGGCGTCTATTACATCCCTCGGTGCCACTTCCACACTGCAGCTCGCTGTGAGGTGGTAACATGAATGTGCCCAAGGGAAAAGGAGGCAGGAGACGGAAGGTGCAGAAGAGAAAATGGAAAAAAAGACTCAGAGGACGCTTCAGAGGTGTCTCTGAGTTCACTCAATGCCACTTTCCCAATGCAGGTACGACGGACAAAACATGGAGAAAAGTGGGCGATTGGGGGGATACCCTGCATCATGCCATCATGCCCGCTACGAATTGACAGAGTAGTTTGTGTCAAGTACAAAAGTCCTTGCCTGAATGCGGTCCACATAAAGGCAGGGAGACTCTTGGAGCAGCAGGAAGACTCTTGGAGCAGCACCAAGACCACTGTTTTGACTCACCTTTCCCTAATGTCACACTTTTGAGACGTCAGGAAGCGCAATCACCAATGTTTGGCTCACATTCCCCTACAATCACCAATGTTTGGCTCACATTCCCCTACAATCACCAATGTTTGGCTCACATTCCCCTACAATCACCAATGTTTGGCTCACATTCCCCTACAATCACCAATGTTTGGCTCACATTCCCCTACAATCACCAATGTTTGGCTCACATTCCCCTACAATCAACAATGTTTGGCTCACATTCCCCTACGATCACCAATGTTTGGCTCACATTCCCCTACAATCACCAATGTTTGGCTCACATTCCCCTACAATCCTCTTTTGAGACGTCACGACTCACGAAGCACAATCACAATTGTTTTAACTCACCTTCCCCTACAATTACAGAGGCCCTGTGCCTCTTGTTGCTGGTCGTGTCTACCACCTCCCCTGCACATGCCATACCCGTGTTAACCCTGTGACCCTGCAGCAAGAGCAGCAGGAGCGGGAGGGAGGACAAGGTGGGTCAACATTCCATGGCATATCATGGCATGGCATGGCATGGCATGGCATGGCATGGCATGGCATGGCATGGCATGGCATGGCATGGCATGGCATGGCACGGCATCGCATGTGCCTCTTGTTGCTGGCCGTATCAACGACCTCCCCCGCACATGCTATGCCTGTGTTAACCTTGTGACCTTGCACAGCAGAGGGGTTGAAGGAGAAGGAGTGACGACAAGGAGAGTTCACATGGCATGTCATGGCATGGCATGGCATGGCATGGCATGTGGCATGCGCGCTCTTGTTACAGGGAAAAAAGAACCTCACAAGGATACTGCTGAAGCACCACTATAGGATGCTGAAGCACCAGCGGATGCTGGAGCATCAGAGACTGTGGAGGCACTAACTAGGAAGATGCCTACCGGGGTGGTGTCTGGGGTGGGCAGCATTCGGATGGCTTTCTTGAGGAGGACGGTGAAGGGCCAGACGCAGGGGGCTGCGGACAGTGTCTAAAGGACACAGAAACAGCAGAGGCTGCTGATGCACTCGCAACTCAAATACTTACCGGGGTGGTGTCTGGGGTGGGCAGCATTCGGATGGCTTTCTCGAGGAGGACGGTGAAGGGCCAGACCCGGGCGGCGAACTGAATGATGCGGATGAACAGTGACGTCACCCAGGAAGATTTACCTGGTTGGTGCGGAAGTGAGGGAGAGAGAGGGAGAATGCGAGAGAGGAGAGAGAAATGAAAAGAGAGAATTGTGAGGAAAGAGAAAGAGAGAAGTGTGAGGAAAGAGAAAGAGAGACATGAGGGGAGGAAGAAAAGGTGAAGAGGGAAATGGTGACGAGAGGAAGGATGAATCAGCTGAGCAAGAGAAGAACGTGGAGAGCAATGAAAAGAGAAACATAAGGAAGGAACAAGAGCAGTACAAAGGAGAGGGTAGCTGACCTGGCACGTAGACAGTGATGTTGGGAATGGAGGTGGAGAGGGAGGTGCTGAAGAGCTCAGCTGCTGGGAAGGACATGGTGGAGAGAGGCGGAAGCTCCTTGCGAATGAGGAAGGAGCGACCACTGCAAGGGGGGAGGGGGGGATAGGTGTGGATGGAAGAGAAGGGTTGTGGAGAGGGAGGTGCTGAAGAGCTCAGCTGCTGGGAAGGACATGGTGGAGAGAGGCGGAAGCTCCTTGCGAATGAGTAAGGAGCGACCACTGGGAGGGGGGTGACGGGGAAGAGAGGCACAGAAGCAAGGCTGCTGGATTGAAAGGGAGGTGTGGAGAGGGAGGTGGTGCAAAGACGAGCTGCTGGGAAGGACATGGTGGAACGAGGGGGCAGCTCCTTGCGAATGAGGAAGGAGCGCCCACTGTGGAAGCGAGCGGGGGGTTCGAGGGGAAGAAGTGGCACAGGAACAAGTGTTTTGAGAAAGATGGGAGGTGGGAAGGAGATGAGCTGCTGGGAAAGACGTGTTGCCCTGTGGGGGCAGCTCCTCCTTGCGATGAGGAAGGAGCGACCACTCAAAAACAAGCCTGTGGACAGAGGTTGTGCTTCACACAAGAACACGCTCACTCACTACTTTGATTGCAATACGGTCCTTCCCATTCCCAGCTGCACTCACTATTTCGCAATAGCCTCCTTCACAATAGCTCCATTCCTGCGCACCAGCCCTCCCATGGGCAGAATGTGCTTGGCGCCCGAGATCAGTGTGCCGTGGGACGGCAGGGCGTTGGGTGGTTTGGACAGAGGGTCCTCGCCCTGTTGGTTGGGAGGTTGTTGGGATTCAAGAATTGGGGTTAAAAAAGAGTGTCAGAATGTGCTTGGCGCCCGAGATCAGCGTGCCGTGGGACGGCAGGGCGTTGGGTGGTTTGGACAGAGGGTCCTCGCCCTGTTGGTTGGGAGGTTGTTGGGATTCAGTATTGGGGTTAAAAAAGACACAGTGTCAGAATGTGCTTGGCGCCCGAGATCAGCGTGCCATGGGACGGCAGGGCGTTGGGTGGTTTGGACAGAGGGTCCTCGCCCTGTTGGTTGGGAGGTTGTTGGGATTCAAGTATTGGGGTTAAAAAAGACACAGTGTCAGAATGTGCTTGGCGCCCGAGATCAGCGTGCCGTGGGACGGCAGGGCGTTGGGTGGTTTGGACAGAGGGTCCTCGCCCTGTTGGTTGGGAGGTTGTTGGGATTCAAGTATTGGGGTTAAAAAAGACACAGTGTCAGAATGTGCTTGGCGCCCGAGATCAGCGTGCCGTGGGACGGCAGGGCGTTGGGTGGTTTGGACAGAGGGTCCTCGCCCTGTTGGTTGGGAGGTTGTTGGGATTCAAGTATTGGGGTTAAAAAAGACAGTGTCAGAATGTGCTTGGCGCCCGAGATCAGCGTGCCGTGGGACGGCAGGGCGTTGGGTGGTTTGGACAGAGGGTCCTCGCCCTGTTGGTTGGGAGGTTGTTGGGATTCAAGTATTGGGGTTAAAATAGACAGTGTCAGAATGTGCTTGGCGCCCGATATCAGCATGCCGTGGGACGGCAGGGCGTTGGGTGGTTTGGACAGAGGGTCCTCGCCCTGGCACAAATGACGGAAGGGTAATGGAGAAAGAAAGACAGCAGCAATAAGTCCAGCCCTCCCAGCGTCAGAATGTGCTTGGCGCCCGATATCAGCGTGCCGTTGGACGGCAGAGCGTTGGGTGGGGTGGACAGAGGGTCCCCGCCCTGACAGATGGTGCAGGAACAGAAGGGTAGTCTCCCCCACACCATGGGCAGAATGTTTGTGGTGCCGATATCAGCATACCGTGAGTGAGATGGCATGTTCATATTGGGCGCCAGAACATCAGGTGCTGGGTGGGGTAGACATCCTCTATATTGAATTCACTTTTGAGAATTCTCAAAAGTGATTTCAGATCGGGCGCCAGAACATCAGGTGCTGGGTGGGGTAGACGTCCTCACGCCCACAGAGCAATTGCTGTGTACACGGACACACACACACACAGAGACTCACAGGAGCAGTGGTGGAAAAGAAAGTGGCAAGGTGAAGCTCCGTTGCTGAAGGCAGCTTGCCCTTTAGGTACCCTGCCAGGCAGTCTGGGCGTTGGTGTTAATAGTTGGGGAGGATCGGGGAGGGAGAGGAGAAAAGGGGAGGGGTAAACAGGTCGTAGGATTATGGACGTGATTCAATCACGTTGCTGAAGGGAGCTTGCCCTTGCACTACCCTGCCCGGCAGTCTGGTGGTTTAACAATTGGGAAGGAAAGGGATGAACAGAAGGTGGGAGAGTGGACGTGATTTACTGATGTTGCTCAAGGGAGCTTGGCCTTAAGGTACCCTGCCTGGCAGTCTGGGCGTTGATGTTGTTGGGTCGGGGGGTGAAGACAGGATGTAGGAGACGAGGGAGAGGAGGGGAGGGCATTCGAAAACTGGAAACAGAGAGCAGCTTTCTGACCTCACAACTTGAACTGAGTCGAATCACACCACCTGGATTGTCAGCACCATGACCAGCATACCTCCCGGAATAACGTCAAAGCCGACAGCAGGGAGAATCATAATGCCCTTTTCCTTGGCTGTGGCATCATATGTGCGCGCATGCTCCATCACCTGCCATACCATGCCATGCCATGCCATCCATGTGCAGCAGATACAAGCCAGTACAGGTCCGCAGACATGTAAACACTTTAATAGAAAAACACTAACTCTCTGCGTTATTGGAACCTTACCAGGTACCAGCAGTCAAACAGCTCCACACCAAATCAATAAAATTATCTTAATTAAGTGTCATGAGGACACACCTTGAACTCCCCAGTGACATCGAGGTAGTGGGTGCCAGTGCTGATGCACGCCTCAATCATGGGCTTGGACGTGATTGTAAAGGGCTGTGACACAATGCGCGGGGAAACACAGAAGAGACTCTTGAACTTGAGTCGATTCAAAAGCCAATCCTCAGTGCTATAGATCAAGGGAGTGGGTGCCGGTGCTGATGCAAACTTCAATCAAGGGCTTCAAAGTGATTGTCGAAATGATTGTAAAGGGCTGTGGATAATTGCAGATGTTGCTGACAACGAGCAAAAGCTGCAACAGCAGCAGTTTGAAAAATTGATTCAACAGCTGCAACAGAACCCATTGCAACTGCTGGAGCAACACGAACCGTTGCAGCAGGAGCAGCAAGGAGGAGGTCAAAAGGTTAAGAAGCAGCGAGCAAAAAAAACGCGGGGAAAGAAGTTGCAGCAAGCGGGTGAGCAACAAGAGGGTGAACCGCAGGAGGGTGAACAACAGAAGGGTCGGCAGCAGAAGGAGGGTGGGCAGCTGCAGGGTGAGCAGTAGGAGCAAGGAGAAAATCAGGTCACGAAGCAGAAAGGGAAGAAGCAGCGAGGACTGAGACCCTGCTTCTTCCCTTCCTGCTTCGTGACCTGATTTCCGCCCTGCTCCTTCTGCTCACCCTGCAATTGCCCACCCTCCTCCTGCTGCCCACCCTTCTGTTGTTCATCCTCCTGCGGCTCACCCTCCTGTTGCTCACCCGCTTGCTGCAACTTTTTTCCCCGCGTTTTTTTGGCTCGCTCCTTCTTAACATTTTGACCTCCTCCCTGCTGCTCCTGCTGCGATGGCTCGTGTTGCTCCAGTAGCTGCAATGGCTTCTGTTGCAGCTGCTGGATCAGTTTTTCAAAGCAGCTCTTGAGTCGACTCAGAAGCAGCTCTCTGCACCTATCCCGGCAGAATTCATCACTCGCCCCAGCCAAGGCACAACTCACCCCAGCCACGTGCAGCACCACCTTGTGCTTCCCCACCAGCTCCACCAATCCCTGCGTATCGTTCAAGTCCACTGCTGCTACAGGCAGATCAACAGCCTTGCCAATCGACCTGGGAAGCAAGAGAGATGGATGGAAATGGGGGGGATGGTTGGGGAGTATTTTTTAGTCGACTCAAAAGAGATGGATGGAAATGGGAGGAATGGTTGGGAGTACGTTTGAACGTCGTTCAAGTCCCACCGCTGCTACAGGCAGATCCACAGCCGCCGATCGACCTTGGGAGCAAGAGGGGAAGAATTCAGGAGTCTACTCAAACAACGCTCGCGTCCACTGCTGCTGCAGGAAGATCCACAGCCTTGCGAATAGACCTGGAGGGCCAGGAAAGCAGGAAGAATCGACCTGGAGAACCAAGAAATAAGGAAGAATAGAGGGAAAAAAAGGGGGGAGGAGGGATGGCTAAAACATTGCTTGAGTGCACAGCACCGCTGCTACAGGCAGATCCACAGCCTGGCCGATTGACTTGGAAAGTCAGGTAGCGCAGGAAGAATAGGGGGGGGGGGGAAGAAGGGAGGGTAGAGATGGCTGGAACAACATTCAAGCCCACACACGTCACAGGCAGATCTACAGCCTTGCAGATAGACCTGGGGCGCCAGGACGAGTGAGAAGAGAGGTGCAGGCAGGAAGAAGCAGGGACAGAGCATGGTGGCAAGTTTTGAGCGGTCCCAATACATGTTTAACCGAAGAGAGCAGAAGGAGAAGAAGCAGGAAATCTGCAGCATCTTGTCTGTTAGCACCGGTAGGTAGGTAATGTACAAATACCGAAAATCTCAAACATCTTACTGTAGCTTCTGCAGATTTCTCCCAGCGAGAGTGGCTGGAAGGCCCACCTCCTTGATCTTTTGGGCTATGAGCGTACCAGTGGTGCCTGGTGAGGGGGAGAGGGAACACCATAGAACGCACAGGAAGGAAGAGAGAGAACCAGAAGAGATTTGGGTAGTGACCAGAGGGCCGACCTTTTTTATCTTCTGGTCTGGGCTATGAGCGTGCGTGCCAGTGGTGCCTGGTGAGGGGGAGAGGGAACACCATAGAAAGCTTTACAGCTGTAGCACGCACGCATCGCATTTAACAGACACACCTCATAACTTTTACAAACATCTCAAGCACACCTTCCACCTGTAGCACACGTTCCATGTAGGGAGCACCTCATATGTAGCATACATTTGCAGCATATGTCACATCTGCAGCATACGTTATCTGTGGCACAATTCACACGTGGCACACGTCACACGATACCTGTGGCACCGTAGACGAGAATTCCCTGCTTCTCCATAGCTTCTTCCGACACTCCCTGCAGATTTGCTGCGCCTGTTACAAAGTAACCCCGTAAGAGCAACCCCAGAATAGAAAATTAGGATAATAATACGGAAACCTTACTATACAAAATACGATGTAGCAGTATCAGAAAAAGCAGGCAATCTTATGCGGAAATTGTTGGAACAAGGAGGACACGTCAGCGGCAGCTCGTGTCGAAAGAAACTTGTAAAATGGTCAGCGTCAGCATGAAACAGGAGTTCCAAAACACTCTCGACTCGACTCGAAAGCTACGAAGCATGGACCAGGAGCGTCAAGACATCTCCTGCTGGGTGACACACATCGCTGTTGCGGATGTTCGGTTTTCAGACTGCTCATACACATGTAGAGCCAGACAATACGTGACCATTCGCGACTGCTAACATTAGCTTGGTCAGAAAGTGTACCCGGTGTTGCCGCTGATGCCGTCGCCTTCACCGCTGCTGCTGTTACTGTTCGCGGCCTTCGCGAATTTCGCTTGACGGGCGGGACGCCGAGAAAATCGGACTCTGAGAGCTTCTTGCTGACGGCTTTCGGAGACTGAATACTGAGAACGGCAGCGCTGGGATTAGACAGAAAGAGCGAGACGCTAACAGTTGAATGACGACGAGCGGAAAAGCGGAGAGCAGGAACGTCGATCGTACGAGCAGCGAGATAGCTCCCTCGAATGAAGGGACACAGGGTCATGTGAGCCTGTCGAAGGCTGCTTTAGGAAATGCGCGGGTGAGGAAATGTGAATCTGACAGCACCGCAAGTCCAGGGAGCAGAGGCTTCGGCTAGTGGGAATTCGGCGATGAAACACGCCTTGGAAATGCCGAAGGTGAACTGACATCCTGTCAAATTCGTCATGAGCAGATGGGATATGCGCCAGGGTGATCCTGGACCGATACTAAATGGCCTGAATTGCTACCTATTGCTCATGCTTTAGATTTCTTCTCTGGACTTTTCTGCATGCATGCTTTGTACAATAGAGTTTCTACATGGATGGCAACAAAAGAATATGAATGCAATTTACAGCAACTGTGTAAGCATGTGGTAAAACACGCTAACCCATGTGTCTATAGGCCCAGGGAGACAATAATGCAGACAATCTTTTGGAGGGCCCATATGCCCGTCGGGTCTCATCTCTGTCATCCTGTCAACATCCATAAACACCCCTCCAGTTTCCTTCACCAATTGCTTCGCAATCATGTTTTGTTCATCAAAATCGCCATAGTGGAATGGATAGGAGCTCATGTCCGGAGGCTCCTTGTAAGGATCTGTGATTGCCCTTGTGCAGTTGGGATGGCCCCCCGGCGTGCTTCTGTAGACCACGAGGGTGTCCGGTGCCGCGTCTCTAACTTCATGGAGTGTAGCATTGAGCTCAGGGATGAACACTTCATTCTCTTCATAGTGCGCTCCACGATTCAGTAGAAGCACTGCAACGCTGCGATCCTCCTTGAGCGTCCTCATCCAAGGGGTGTTGATGCAGCGAGGTTTTTGGATCAAGTAGTCGTTTGACGTGTTTAGGAGGTCATTCCGAATGTACACTACTGTAGTGTTCCCGTATCGCACTTCCTTGCACTGCCAGCTGATTTCACGAATCTTGCGATGCTCCGCACAGGTCTCCTGTCCAAGTTTCTCTACTCCAGGGCATTCCTGCTTTATTCTTTCTTCTAGTTGCTGCCGCTGCTGCTGGTAATGGATCAACGCCTGCTGCTGCTCCTGCTGCTCATTCTCCTGCTGCTGCTCCTGCTGCGCCTCCTGTTTGCCCTCCAATTCGCCCTCCTGTTTACTCTCCTGAAATTCCTCCTGCTCCGCATCCTGTTTCTGCTGTTGGTTTTCTCTCACTTGCAGCTGTTGCCGCCGTGGCTGCTTTTGCTGCACCCCCTGCTGCCCCTGCTCCCCCCCCTGCTGCCCCTGCTGCGCTCCCCGCTGCATCTGCTGCACCCCCTGCTGCCGCTGCTGCGTCCCCTGCTGCATCTGCTGCACCCCCTGCTGTTGGTTTCCTGGCACTTGCATCTGTTGCCACCGTGACTGCTGTTGCTGCGCCGCCTGCTGTCGCTGCTGCGGCTCCTGCCGCCTCTGCCGCCTCTGCTGCCTCTGCTGCCTCCTTTCAGCATACCATTTCGTCCACATATCGAAGACACACTTCTTCTGGCACATATTCATAAGATTCCTAAACGCCTCGAATACTTGTAAGTTTAACGAATCCCCCACTATCATGATCTTTCCTCCGTTTGGAACAAGCCCTGCTTTCAACCGCGCGCAGTCCACTTCCCCCCACCACTCACTTCCTCCACACTCTTCCATTCCTCCACCTCCTCCCTCCTCTCCTGAATTATCATCCTCTTTCTGCTTCGGCAACACCCACCGGTACTTCACGCTCGGTCGAACCTGCCACACTGCCTTCCCCCCCCTCCTCCGAGCCACTCCATCCGCAGTGTCATACGCGATGTTCCGAAATACAGCTGCCCCAGGAGAACCATTCTGCCCGGAAATGTTTTTCTGGGCCTCTGTAATCCACCAGTAGTCACACGAAGAGTACCCATCTTTCTTTTCGTCCCACCAAGGTAGGTGCCTTGGCTTAGGGTCATAAACCCACTGCCCTTTAGATGCTAAACATTCAAATCTGCTCTCAAAACTTCGAACCTCCGCTACAGTGGAAAGCTTGGACCCAGGGATCAACGGCTGAGATGAATCGGCAGCTGCAACTTCATCTCCAGTAACTCCTCCCCCTTCCTTACTTCCTATCCCAAATTCTGTTGCTCCGCCAGCTCTCCTCCTATCCTCGCGGCCTTTAAAGCCTAGTGCCGACACTGCCAGCGGAATAGGCGACAGGGTCGCGCGAAAGTCTGACGCGATAATCTTGAAGCAGATCGTAACGGCGATGCACGTGGCGAAGAGAACGATTACGGAACTCCGCACGCTTCCAACAGCCATGTGTTTTGGCATCGCAGGTATCGTCATCGGTCGTCGTCCAAAAAACTCGATATAATCTGCATCTCTAGTAACGTGTGCAGGTCGGACTAGGCAATTTCGGGTTTCTGTACGACGATTGCGATAAGGCAACGCTGCTCCGAAGCAGCATATGACGCACCATGTACGCGTGTAATCTTCAAAAGACGGTCCCTCTATTCTCAAGAAAAGCACGCTGCAGGTAGCATTAACCCAATTCAGCTCCGAAGTGGCGTCATTGGGCTGCCTGAGAGATTATGTGACGGACAATCCATTAGCAATCCATCGATGTCTCCTACATACAATGTAACAGGAAAGGAGGGAGCAGCTGAGGCCCAACTTCAGAGACAGACGCTCAGCACAACTCAGAAGAAGTGGTTGATTTTTATGGCGGATGGTTGGCGCTAAATATTTTCTGTCTTCCGATCGATGACAATGAGAGAACACCGCCTGATCAGCGGGTTGAAGTGGAAAAATGTCCGACAAACGAGGAAGAATTGGGAAGAGACGCGCTTGTCGGTCCGTGTATTGGGACAAACACACCCACGGGGCGGGAAGCACATCGGATTCAGAAACCACCAAGCCCGAATTTCGCAAGTAGAGCTTCGCGCCTCGCGAACGGGCAACGACCTGAACGACGAACTAGACTGCCGCTAACGAAATCTAGCTAGGTAACACGGCGACGAGGGGAGGTTGTGCTTGTTTTGCGATGCCCGTGAGCAACGGTCAGAACGACTGTTGGTTGGTGGCGGGGACAGCGTCTGACAATTGATGATCCGATAAGAACGAAATGCATGGCACAGTCCAACAGCCTGTTCTCAAGCCACATTAATTACACTTTTGAGAGTAAGACTACAAATTCAGTCTACAGCAACTGTGTACGCATGTGATAAAACCTGCTAACCCAAATAGGCCCAAGGAGACAATAATGCAGGCAATCCCTTGGAGGGTTGGCATGCCCATCAGGTCTCATCCATAAATATCCATAACCCCCCCCTCCAAGTAGTAGGGGTAGGAGCTCGAGTCTGGAGGCTCCATATAAGGACCTGTAATTGCTCGTGTGCAATTGGGATGGCCTCCCAGTGTGCTTCGGTAGACCACGAGCGTGTTTGGTGCAGCGTCTCTAACTTCGTGGAGTGTAGTGTTGAGCTCCGGGATGAAAACGCCATTCTCTTCATAGTGAGCTCCACGATTCAATGGAAGCATAGCCACACTGCGATCCTGTTTAAGCGTCCTCATCCATGGCGTGCTGACGAAGCAAGGAGTTGTCAAACTATATATGGTTTATAATTAGGTGTAGGCTGTAGTGGGGTAGCCAATGTAGGGTACAACCCTTTAGGGCTCTCATCTTTATACCCTACTTACTCAATAGTCAAAACATTCTAAGCTACCTAATCAACATGGTATTAAGAGCATGTAAGGTCTTATGACCTTAGGACGAAATTTTTTTTTGGCCCACGACCTACCACCTGCCCGTATCTCGCTACCCCGTACTTTGCCCTGCCCTAGTCCCGAGTGCGCCTCATTAGCAGCCCGCACGGCCCGCGCGTCGCCTTTGCTGGCCCGCGTGTCGCCTTTGCTGGCCTGCGCGCCGCCCGCCAGTAGCCCGCGCGACCTGTTCGCTGTCCGCACAGCCCGCACGCAGCCCCTACTAGCCCGCGCAGCCCGCACGCAACCCCTTCTAGCCCTCGCGCCGCCCGCCTGCAGCCCGCGCGCCCCGCGAGCTGCCTATCGCGCTGCCACGCAGCCCTGTGCGCCTGCCCTGCTGCTGCTGCAGCTGCCTGCTACGCTCTGCGCACGGCCCACCCTGCTGCCTTGCCGGCCGCCTGTAGCCCTGCACGCCGCCTGCCTCTGCCGCAGCTGCCTACTACGCCCCACGCGCCACCTGTAATGCTCCCCTGCAGCCCCGTGCGCCGCCTGCCCTGCTGCCGCGGCTGCCTGCTGCGCCTTGCCCTAGGCGCCCTGCCCGCGCTGCCCTGCGCCCTGCCCGCCCTGCCAGTGCTGCAGCCGATGCTACGCTGCTGTTGCTGTCAGTGCCGCACT